AGAAAAAACAGTTATCCTCAAATGCAACTAAAACAAAGATAATCAATAAAAAACAACAGAGAGGGAGGAAATAATGTCATTCTGCCAAGCTAAGCCTTGGGTGGAGTCTGCATCTCAGTCACTCCATCTGTCGCGGTTTCAATGCTCGGGATCACAATCTGGGGATGGACATCAGTGTCCGGTGCAACATCAACACTTTCTCCGTTGGGGTCTGCCATAAAAGTGACTCTCAACGATGTCTGAATGGTCAAATGTACCATAGCCTCCTCTGTTACGATTCAAAAAACTAGTAGGTGAAACTAGAGCCTTATGAGTGTGTTGTTAAGTTTAATATGGGGTCACTACAAGAAAAATGACTTTTAATGAAAGGAAATTCGGTAGTTAAAAGTCCATATCCAGCCGTTAAAGGTCTATAACGACCGGGCAAAAATTGGTCGTCACCCGTCGTTAAAAGCTCCGTCGTTAAAGGTTACCGACCGGATTGCATTGCCGGTCGTTAGATATCACTTAGCGACAACGATAAATCCGGTCGCTACATTTACTAACAACGACCACAAATTCCCTTCGTTGATGGTCATTTGGTCGTTAAAACATTGAAGTAAAACCACAATTTCCAGTCATTACAAGTACTTTTAGTGGTCAGATTCTTTCATTGATTACATTACTTTTACCGACCAAGTTTAAATTCCTTTCGTTGCTTTTAATAAATTTAACGACAAAGTTTGTTTTACAAATTTAGTTTCAAATAATTATATATAGTTTTTATGTTCCTCGAGTAGTTCCGGATCTTAATATCATTTTTTTTTATTTTTCACAAGCCATAAAAATTTAAATATAAAATTTACATAATTGTTTTTGTCCATGAACGAAAATATACTGGAAAAATTAGCATATAAATGTGTGTTCAACAGTATCTAAAAAACAATAGATGTTCAACATAAGATCTAAATAACATAGATGTTCGACATCTATTGAATCCTAAAAATTAGAGAAAATGAAATAGCTGCACAGGTTAAAATGTCTCTAGATCTGCACCAACAATAAAAATATAATTTTTTTTTTCAGCTGGCACCACAATTCTTCAAGAACACGTTCTTTAATCTTCATCACATTCTTCATCTGTTAAAAAAAAACAATTTGAGGTCATTTCGTAACAGAATGCCGGATAGCTATAACTTATAACTTTTAAAGTATAAATCAATCATTTAATCACCAAAGAGCCCAAAAGTTGGCACTGCATAATTCTCATCAGCATCAGAACTAGTAAAGTCAAAGTGTGGAGCCAATTTTGGAACAATATAGGCCTGTGATTTTTTTCAAAGTTCATTCTTGGTACAGTTGCTCCACAATTCACAGGGATTTCTATTATTGAAGATGGAAGTGAGGGTATATTTGTGGAATTAGAGATGCAATGGGATGGGAATCCAAGCATAATACTCAATATCAAGACTTATGTAGGTGTAGCATTACCAGTGCAGGTGAAAACATTGGGTTTACTGGTATTTTCAGGCTCATCTTCAGGCCACTTGTTGATGAGTTTCCTTGCTTAAGAGTTGTATGCTATTCTCAAAGGCAGAAGAAAAAGCTGGATTTTACGCTTAAGTAATTGGTGGTGACATGACAGCAATTCCTGGCCTTTCTGATGCAATTGAGAGAACCATCCGGAACGCTGTTGAAGACTCTATCATGTGGCCAATACGAAAAGTTATTCCCATTTTACTTGGGGATTATAGTGACCTTGAACTGAAGCCTACCGGAGTATTGTAGGTGAAACTTGTTCAAGAAAAGGAATTAACAAATAAAGATATCATTGGAAAATCTAATCCTTTTGCTGTATTATATGCAGGAATTAACAAATAAAGATATCATTGGAAAATCTAATCCTTTTGTTGTATTATATGTAGGCCCTCTACGAGACAGAATGAAGAAGAGCTAACAATGATTTGAACCCAATTTGGAATATGAGCATTTTCAGTTCGTAGTCGAAGATCCATTGACACAACACTTGGTGGTAAAAATCTATGACGATGAAGGGCTTCAGTCAGCTGAACTAATTGGATGTGCCCATATCTGTTTGAATGAGCTTGAGCCTGGTAAAGTGAAGGATATCTGGTTGAAGTTGGTGAAAGATTTGGAAATTCAGAGAGATAAGAAAAATAGGGTCCAGGTGCACTTGGAGCTATTGTACTGCCCGAATGGCATGAACAATGGGCTAAAGTAAGCTTTTTTCTCAAATGAGTCAATGACTTCATTAGAGAGAGTTCTTAAAAACTCGGCAGAAAAGAAGTTAGTCCAAACGGAAGTGAAATCAACAATAGAAGAGAGGTAATAGTACGAGGGGTACTTTCTGTTTCCGTGGTATCAGGTAATGACCTAGGGAAACTGAACTTGCATCTCAAATGGAATCCACAACCAATATACAGAGACTACCAGTGATGAACATCAAACTTTAGTTTTATATTCTTGTTAGTTTTGTACAGGGAGTAAAATTTCCCTGATTCCCTAATTGACTGGGAACGACAGCACGTATAATCGAATATTTTCTGTACATGATTTATTATAAACAGAAGAGAGATACTGTAAAGCTGTGAAACTTTTGAAGAGAAGCTGAAGTTGAAGCTGGACAAGAATAAAAATTAAGTAATTTTTCAAAAAAAAAGAAAGTTCAACAAGTTTAGAGATAATTATTCTAAAACTATAACACTTTTAAGGATTAAACACGCAACACAAATACTAAGGTGAACATGCAGGAAAGGAACTCAGTTTAGAACAAAGGAATACATCCTGATTAAAACAAAGATATGCATAATTCTATAAGCATGTAGTCTCGTTCATCATGGAAAGTAGTACAACTAAAGACTGTCTACCCTCTAAAATAAACTTATCATAGAAAGATAGACCACTGCATTAGCAAAGTCCTTATCAAAGATGAGCATTTGTTAATGACATCACTAAATTCATTGAAAAATACACATCATAGGAATAGCTAATGAAAAGTTTGCTAACCTGGTAGAGGTGATGGAGGTGATGGATGTTGACGAACCACTATACTTTCAAGGCGATCGTATTTACTCTCTAGAATATCAATACGCTTTTGTAGTGATTCCTTTTCTGTTCGAGTTGTTTTCAGTTCTTCCAACAACACAACCTTAGAAGTACTACCACCTTTCAACTTCTTAGTGGTTATCCTACCACCAAATCCAACCGCATGACTTTTGCATTGAGGTTCAAAGCACCTTTCCACTACCTCAACATTAGTAAGAGACGGTTCAAATTGTACAAGCACTTGAATTTCAGCCTATAAAATACAAGAATGTTTAAAATATTTTCAATGAATCAATCCAGAGAGAAAATGTTAAATGAAAATTTTATCGATAAACATACATATTTTTCATTGGTTTCGGGTTCGACAAGCTCATTTCCCTTTTTACGAGTCTCAAAGAAGATAGTTGCCATGTTTGGTGGATTACCATCTTTGCCTCCCTTAACAATAAAAAAAGTAAAGCACTATAAGATCTTTTATACAAAAAGGAGGTTTCCTTATAGGGTTTCATGATTTATTTACTAGTTTGTAAATAATCTCTCTTATAGGCTTGCTACCCGTACGA